GCTGTTCAAAAAAAACCCAAACCACAACAAAAACCACAACCCAACGAAGGTTTGGCAAGTGCATGAGAGAACGAGAGCCCAAGAATAATACTTTTTTGTAATTGTATAAATCCCACTCTAGGTCTATGGTGGGTTTGTGTGGTGGGGTTTTGGTAGTGGGGGAGGGGCTACAGGGATGGCTACTGTGAAAAGCTGCTAGAAGGTTCCATGGCTTGAAGTCAGACCCTCCTCTGGCCATAGCCGCGTCCATCAGCGCCTCTGTGAATAACACATTTAAGAAGGGAAAAGAAAACTGTGCCATGTGGGACCTGCAGTGGAGAGAGGGAGAAGGTGCAGGTGCCTGTCCTACACAGATCCCAGCTTTGGTGCCAGGATATTGACCTCTTGCCATTAATTTAGCCTAGTTGTTCTCCTGGCACATTAGTGCAGTTCAGTCCAAAATTAAGAGACATCTACCCCTTTCAAAAAAGAAAATAATTAAATAGGGCATTCCTTCAAATAAACTGTCCTCTCCTACTTTACCAATCTTTTTCAAGTAAGCACCTGAGGGCAAAAACTGATCGTGGTACCACATCCTAATGAAAAGGCCGTAATTGCTTTGTCAGAGCAACCAGGAAAGTTTCAGAGCTAAAGACTTTGCTGTTGGACAACCTGTCATCACATCAGACAAGAAGTTGTAGGGAATGTCATTTTGGACATGCCATCCCGATTTCAGTTGTCATGGTGGCGACAAGGACGGATAGTTAGTTTCTCATACAATCAAGACCAAAGCTGTAGAAGACTCACAGATAAAGGCAACAAAACTGAGTAGAAACAGGTACTTTTTGGAAAGCACAACATGTTTGAGGGCTGCTGTCATCCAAGAGGTGAAAGTGGCTCCATTTTACACCAGAAGGCTGCTTGATGATTTTTCTGTTCACGACCAAAGTACAGCAATAATCAAATCTCTTCAACCAGAAAGATGAGGTGTACAGAAAATGATCCTACCTCAGCAGAACCTGACAAAAGCTGCGTATTTCAAGTTCAAATAACAAAACTAAGACACATGGTTAAAATATACTTTTGGAGTAGCCTTTTGGCAAAATCCTGACTAAAAGATTCTGCATAGTTTATATTATGCACACAGAACAGACAATATGTTTCAATCAAACGTTCATCTTGCTGAGCAGAAGATCTGTAGGAGGAAAAATGTGTCTGCACTTATTTTCTTGTGAAAAAAAGCCTCTAACACGCTTTAAATACCACTTAAGTAAATTTATGAACTGTAAAAAGTTCCACAGTAGTGAGTATAGAAGATATTAAATTTGATTGGTAGATTTATTAATGGCCTTTCATTAAAAAATTATAAGCAAAGTTATTTTCCTTGATAATGAAATATTTTTATTCCCCAGTTTCTTGTATACACTGACCTCAGAGTTAACTTGAAGCAAAAATCTATTTATCTTTTGTGTTATATGTTTGATTAAGGTGCATAATAGTTAAATATCAGACTAGAAATTCTAAACACACTTTTCATCTTGTCTTTGAAAGGTGAAATATTGCACAAATAAAGTACATGTTCATAATATTTGCCAGCGCCAAAATCTAAACATCTAACCTTCAAGACCAGACTGCAAAGGAAGCTTTGTCCCATTGAATATGGGTAAAAGCAAAAGTATTTGAAATCTAATTTGACAGGTGTAATCTCTAAGCCAGAGAAAAAGGGTAAAAGTGTCTCTGTGGTTATAACTGAGGTTAATGGGCTCAAACTATAGCTTTTGACCAACCAGTTACTGAGCCGACTTTCCCATAAATCTCATCTTCCTAGAACCCAAAAAGACTGAAATAACAGAAAAATCATATTCTGCATGCGTGAATCAAAACTAACAAAAGAACCTCCTAAACGGAGGTCAGCTTGAAGAATTAGGTGTAGATATTAACCTTGTGATAGGAAAAGACTGCCAAACTGCTCCCTACCCAAAACCTGTTGAAATGGCTGGTGATCATGGACATTATGAGCTGTCCGCATTTTGACAATGCCAACAATGATTCAGAATTAAGGTTGCCAAGTGTGTAGAAGAAGACATAACCAGAAGTGGAAAAGTAGAGACAAAGACTAAAATCACACAATGAAGATTTTTTAATAGGCTACTATGGAGGCAGGCAACAACTACAGTACAATCCTGACACACATATAGGCTGAAATTGAAGGTCTCACCTCAAGGCAAAAAATAATAGTAATTCTAGGGATAATATATGTATCCTAGGAAATTAGTAGTGAAGACACTCAAGATGACAGCAGTGATGATGTTAACTATTATCACATCTATTCAATAAAACATTTTACATTCGAGGGGAAGTCTACAGTAATACTGGCTAGATACATCCACTCTTTCTTTTAAAAAATATTCTTACTTGTTAATGTACATTAAAAAATGTTAAAATAGCATCAGTGGCATGATTGCATGTCAATATACTATTTCATTAGAGATGTAATTTAATATCATTAGATTTTGTGTTTCTCTTAGGGCATGTAAAAGGCCTTATGAATGGCAGAATTAAATATAAACTATCAGTTACGGCTTTTGTCATGTAATCATGAAATAAGGTTACTACTTTCTAAATACAAAACCCAACAATACTCAAATAGCTTCATTTTGGTTGAATACCAAATCAACGAGATGGCATCCTCTAATAAAACTGATCATATAAACCTTCCATGGTGCTCTGCTGAAGTGACTCACTAATAAATATGTATTTACATGCTTTGAAGAGCTTTCTCTCAGCTCTTCAAATATAGCTTTTGAATTACTACATATCCGTTATCACAAAACAAACTGCCCTGGAAACCAGCTGTGAAAGAAACAAATGCACACACAAACATCAGATGGTAGCACAGAGAAGTTGTAACTGGAAGTATCTCAGCAATCGGGCTGCCAAGCACAGAGAGATCAAGCAAATGCAAATTTAAACCAATACAACTTGTACAAAACAATGCGACAGCCAGGAATTCCTCATATGGTAAGGCTGTTCTGGTGGTCTGAGCAAGGGTCAATATCAAGGATTGTCAGTAAATATGTTCAATATGTAATAATCTACCGTTCTCCCCCATTTTGAGAGCTGATAAGCAGATGGTATTAAAGTTTACAAAGCAATTTGGAAACAGTTCTGACCACTGAAAGTATCTGGTGATTTGGATGCAATCAGCCCAGACAAACCAAATAAGGAAAATATTAAGGGAAATACTCCTTCAATGCTCTTGTAACATTCTGTTATGGGAAGCATAATTCTCAAATCCATATATTTTACACTGTAAACAAATCAAAATCTGTTCTCACTCCCTCTCTTTCCTTCTTTTATGCCAGGAAAACAAAAGAACCAAATTCATCATCTCAGAATTTTTGTCAGTTAGAATCACAAATTCCCTGCCTTGACAGATTACAGCAGCAAGGCAGCACAGACATTTGGCCTTCCCAGCACAACTGGGCTGAGAATTCCTCATTTCACCCATTTGGTTTCCAAGAAACAGAAGGGGCTGCAGCTGCTCCCAGCCCATGCCTGCTATCCCCAGACTCCTATCAGTCACGGCAGTATTGATGTGAAGATTAAATACAATCTTTCCAACATCTTCTGGATCAGATCATCGTGAAAAAAAAAGGTTAAATCATTTGCTGTCACCAATAGCCCCATTTGTTTCTGACTGAATGTCATTTTTACTAAAGGGCTGCGAATCAGCTGGATAGACATACATCTACACTGAAGAATGGAGTTATAAATGAGGAAAACCGACAGAAATTTTCTAAGAAATTGATTACTTCGTGACAGTTTGTTTAATGTCACCTGAAAGGAAAAATCATTTGAGTTCATGTATGCTACCTGCAAAGCTGCCACTCAGCAAACTGTGTATCTATGTTACCAGAGTAAAAAGAATCTAAATCATTCAATTCATTCTCAGGTTTCAATTAGGATTCCAGCTATCCTACATCCAAAGAGGCATCAAAACATCCCCTAAAAAAGTGCCTTGAACAGAAAAAATGAGGTGAAACAAATTGGTTTAGCAGTTACCACAGTCAGCGATGTCGAAATGAATTATGTTCTGGTTATGTGAATAGGAAAAAAAGTATGAAAAGGATGCATGTATTCTTAGTCTAATTAAAATCTAAAGCTTCTACTCAACATGTAATTTAATGCCATTGTTAATATTTTAATTACTTTTCTTTCCATATATCATAAGCTAATCATGCCTACAATTTGACCACTTTTTAAACCAATTACATTATTAAGTAGTAATTTGTTTCTGCTGTCATTTAAATTAATGCTTATAGAACAGCTATTATTTATGTCAGTGTATGCAGCAATTAAAAACTTCATACTAAAGTAAATCACGTTGGGGTAAACATTTTTGGGGGTATATTTATAATTGCTAATGGTGTCTGGGTAAGATGTATTGATTCTGATGAATGACAGAATGATAGAATGGTTAGGGTTGGAAGGGACCTTAAAGACCATCTAGTTCCAACCCCCCTGCCATGGGCAGGGACACCTTCCACTACATCAGGTTGCTCAAAGTACCCTACATAAGCTGTCGGTGTTTAAAAACCGCATAGAGCATCTTTTCGCAAACATAGTAAGATCTTTCCACCTTTAACCAGCCAAAAATGTTGCAAGGAGGCACTTCCACCACTAAATATTCTTTGATGAAAGAACAGCATTTCCAAAAGATTCTAAGTATCCCATGCCTTTTGTTTGCTCATTCTCAGTCATACTTGCAAAAACAAACAAAAAAT